CTAACCTTTCCCTTATTGGTATCGATCCTAAGTTATATGCGGGTCACTCTTTTAGTCGCGGGGGGGCGTCTTTTGCCTATCAGTCTGGCGTTCCGATAGAACTTATTGAAGCATTAAACGACTGGCGTTCGGATACCCTCCTCACCTATCTAACCATGCCTCTTACTATCAGACTCAAAACAGCTAACATGCTTTGTAAATCCATTTTATCTCACTCCACCTAATCTTCACACTCATATCACTTCACTTGGGTTTGGGCTGTTTCTATCTTAGGACTTTGAATATAAGTTAGAATAAGTATTTTTCAATAGGTGTACTAGGTTTACGCGTTTATGTTTGTAATTAAGACTGTCAGACCGTGGCCCAAAGTGTGTGCATGTGGTAGTTTAGACAGACAATTACCGCCAGCCTACCATGATTTATATGAAAATTCCTGAACTTCGATGGTGTCTTACAAAGATTTCCTTCACTTACCCAAGCCAATTCCCAGGTATGTGTTAAATGAATGTCTAAATGTGTGATTTAAATAGCAAGAAGAGAATTTGGAGTTATACCACATGTTAAATATTGCCGTCGAATATGAGTAACGAACTTAAATTTTTGTTATCCTCGAAACTATCCCTCATTTTTAAAATTATTTCGGTACGACCAGCTTCCCTATTGTCCAGAAAGTGTCTTCTAGTGGAAGGAAAAGAATTTTCCTGTTCGTGGATATTGTCCAAATTTCTCCATCCAGCTTCTTTTGCGAATGCTAGGAAAGTTGATGTTAGCGAATTTCAGGTTAAAGATTAACAGAGATTAATAAGTCTGAGACTCGGACATCGAAAACCGATCTTCTATTCTTTCTCACGAATAAAAGGCTTTCGGCGGGAACAATCTACGTTAGGTTTCTTATATACCTAAAAGCTATCCATGAACAAAAATGAAAGAAATTGATTTTTCAACTCTTGCCGGGAAATTAAGATTTTGGTCGATTTTTCTGTTTCGCACGTCTCAAGCTCGCAACTGAGAAAACAAAATACAAGATTCGATTCATCTCTGAATATTATCAATTATGTCACGATCACGTAACCCACAGTCTCATAAAGAAACACTTCTCACACGGGATCCAATACAAATATACGTAACAAGAAACTGTTAAGTTAATCGTACAAACATCTTTTGCAGAAAAAAGTTAAAGTAGAAGGGTGCGTGACCTTCGAAAACATCTTTTCTTCAATAGACGAAGAATCTTTTTGACTTTGCCGAAAAGGCTGGTATGTTACAGATGTTAAGCCCGCAACATTAAAACAGCGGCTGCGTTTGCAAATTGATTGGCGCCAAAAAGGGCGCTCTTTTCAGTTTAATTTATTTCTTTGGATCATTCAGCTGCGTATATTAAATTCCGCATAATTATGTCATTCTGCTGCTACGTGCCATTCCGCAAACTCATTCCGCCCTTTACCCTCACCGAGTTATAAACAGTGAGTTCATCATCTATATAGCCTGCTTGCCCCAAAGTGACTGAATTTCGCTTTTCAGAGACCCATCAGTTACTGTATGTCCGTGATGTAATACTGGTGGTGAGGTCAGTCCACAAGCAGAGTCGTGAAAAACATCGACACTTGAGCCTTTACGTTCAAAACATTCCTGGCTATCGGCAAAAAAAAGAAGGAGCTTTTAAAAATACTAAAATAAAAAGTCATTTCAGATTTTACTTTGTCACCGTTTAGACCGCATGAAAGTTCGCTCAAAGAGGGGGGTTGTAGTTCATAACAGTTTCAGTTTGCTAGTGCAGTTTCGAACTGCAGAACACATGCAAGAATGAGAAAGCAAATAAAAAACAACTTTAAAGTCGGGTGAAAGGTTTAATAGCGTCAAGAAGACTGACTTGATTAAGGGAGTTAATTTCAGTTCCGTTCCAGCGTGCAGTTCCTTGTCCTCCTGAAAATAGCTTCGTCTCCCAACGATCATTCCATGTCATATTTTTCGGACTTATTATTCAGTAATGACGGTACGATCAGGTAACTTGACTTGATGAGTTCTTTAATTTCATTTCATGTACTAGTTTTATATCTTACGCTGGAAAGATCTGCCAAATGTACATTAGCAAAGGTAGGTTCCTGTTTACACGTGTAATATTATCGAATACCATATAATTTGCATAAAGCTGCAGTACACAAGCGGCTCGCTATTGGTCTGGCAAATCGAAGAGCGAACTTGAGCTAGTACCGTGTGTAACAAAATTTATAATTTTCATTTTAGCGCATATTTCAAGCTCTTTGCAAGATCAGAATTAAAAGATCTTCTTTTTATATTACAAGGGCGGGTTTTTTAAGCGATAGATAGGCTTTAAGAGGCACGATCAATTTTTAAAGAATTTTCTGTTCAAATATTCACCGAATTTTGTTTGGAAGTTTTAGCGACCAAGTGGCTGAACCATTGCGCATTCATGCAATTATATTTCTGCTCCGTTGCATTTGCCCAATTATTTTATTCAACAATCTAACTTATCTATAAACAAACTATGTTTAGTTAAAATGGCTTAGTCTAAATCGATGTGGCATGGGTGATATTGACCTTCCAATTTCTACCAAATTTGTGTGCCTTTTAAATACCGAAAAAGTGCTGTGAGAAGTTATAGCCGTTCGTAGCTCAGGCTTAACCATTTTCAGATAAGAGTAGGTAAATGAAAGGAGGAAGGATGGTTCTTTGCAACTGTATGAGTCACGATTAAATTATTTTAATGATAAGGCTAGAATTAATTACTGTAAATCTCGTTCAGTTCACCAACATGGCGGCCCCTCGAGGCCTCGTCAAAACTGTCATTCCTGTATCTTTGAAACCAAAGAGACTATTCATGAATTTTCTGTTGTTAAATGTTGCTTTTGTTATTTGAATATTTTTGAATTTGAACATGATTCATATCTTGTTGGTGATTTGTCACAGGAAGTTTCATGTCAGTAGTTATGAAAGTGGGAAGTACAGCGAGTTTACAAAAATTTCTAGCGAGTACGTATAATTTTAAGAATTTCATTAAATCAAATAAAATCCCAGAATACGCAAGAGACTACAAAAGAGAATATCTTTTCGTAAAAGGATTAAATCTACAATTTGAGTATTTTAATAAGAAACTAGAATATTTAAATAATGGATTATTTGAAACAGAATTAGCAAAAGAAATAAAGTTTTACATGAAAGGATTTCTAAGAAGACAAAAAGAAAATAAATTTAAGAATTTAGCTAATATTATATATTTCGCCGATAACTTTCTGGATCATATATATTTTATGAATCAAAACTTTGATTGTTATAAATTACGTTACGATGCTTTTTGTGATGATGGTAAAGATTACAATGATTATCTTAGTGATACTAGTGATACTAGTGATACTAGTTATGATGAAGATGATGATGTTGAATATAGTGATGAATATATAGAATATCTTAGAAGTATTAATAGTAAAAAAGAGTATTTAGTTGATGGAAAACCTTATCCTGGGTTTATAGAATTTTATGATATTTTTAAACAGATTTTTAATCAAATAAAAAAAGATGATGAAAGTGATATTGATGAAATTATTGAATGTGATAGTGATAGTGATAGTGATAGTGATATTTATATATGATTTCTAAACTTCTAACATTTATGTTACAAGTTTTAAAAATGATTTAAATATTAAATATATTAAATTAATAAAATGACAGATTATCCTCAAAAAATATTTACAATTCATTTTCCTGATAAAAAAGTTTATATAGAAAATACTTCTAAATCTTTACATGAAAAAATGGAATATATTAAGAATGATAAAGATCATTATTTATACCCACTACTCAAAGATTACCCAAATCCAGAAATTAGATTTGAGTGTTTTCAAAATTGTGATTGTAGTAAAGAGTTTTGTGTTTGTAGTAAAAAGACAGTAGCTAGTGAATATATTAAAGATTATTATAAAATATTAAATCCTAAACTTTTTCCCTCTCCAAGTTTATTCCAATCATTGTATAAATGGATGGGTTATTAAAAGAATTTGAAGATAATGGAATTAAAGTTGTAGTTGGTTGGAAAGAAAAAGAAAGAAAAAAGACAATACTTTCTGCTTTAAGAAAATTAAAGGAAAGTGGAGATGATGTTAAACTTAATTATGTAAAAACGTTGTATAGATATTATTGCACAATTAATAGTTTAGGTCATATTTTACATCCAGGACTAATTCCTGTTGAAGAGGATGAATATGGAATACATTATCTTTGTAGTTATATAGATGGTATTGTTAATACTGCAAAGATGAGTATTGCTGGAGTTATTAAAGCTCTTGGAAATGATGAAGCATTAAGACCTTTTTGTAAATACTTAATGTTTACTCACATGTATACTCCAGAGCAAGTAAAAGAAATAGGACATGAGGAAATATACAGAAGAGAGCAATACTTTGAAAAAGAATTAGGATTAGTATAATCAAATAATAAAAAATGGGATCAAGATCAAGAGAAACTACTCCTACAAAAGAGGATTTGGATTTTATAGTTGATGATGGTTATCAACATGATGAGGATCCAGATTATGTACCAAATGAAAAATATGTTGTTACAGGACCAGAGTTTAAAAAATTAACCAGAAATGCTAAAAAGCTTGGTGCTGAATCACTTGATTATTCTACCCGAAAAAATAATAAATACATGGCCACCCTTCCAGGTGGAAAGAAAGTTCACTTTGGGTCACCAAAATATCCAGACTACACTATTCACAAAGATAAAGAGCGAAGAGATAAATATCTGTCTCGTGCTACAAAGATTAAAAACAAACAGGGAGAATTAACTTATACTAATCCAGAATCGAGCAACTTCTGGTCAGTAAATTTACTTTGGCCAAAAAAATAAAAATGATTTATTATATGTTTAAAGAAATAGTTTTTAATATAAAATGGAGAATTATATATTAGAGAGTGGTAAAAAGTTTTTTGTTCATCCAATTTATAAAAAATATGCAGCAAATAAATATGGTGAAATCATGAATGTTAGATTAAGAAAAGCTATGAGAGGAAATATTACTAAATCTGGTTATTTAATTTTTGGTTTATCTATATCAAAAAATAACATAAAAAGTTATCTTACACATCGATTTATTTATGAGTGTTTTTATGGATTGATAGGAAAAAATAAATTCATTAATCATATTAATTTTATTAAAAGAGATAATAGGTTGAAAAATTTGGAAGTAGTTACACAAAGTGAAAATAATAAAAAATCAGCAATTAATAGAGATTATAGTTTTGTAAAGGATAATCATAAAAATAAAAAAAAAAGTTAAGGGAATTAATTTGTTAACAAATGAAGAAGTTATTTACAATAGTTTATATTCAGTTAACAAATTATTATCTATTAATGCAGGTCATGTTAAAATGATTTGTGAGGGATTTAACTATTGTAAATCAGCCACTTCAAAAAAAGATGGTCAAAAATACACATTTGAATATATAAAATAAAATTAATTTTTTTTAAAATGAAGTTTAAAGATTAAATAAATATTAATAAAATGCAGTTGACCAAATACGAAGATATTACTAAGGAAAATATTATATTTAATAAAACAAAGGAGTATAAAGTAAAAGATAGTAATATCAAATATAAACGGATTAAAATTGAAGTAAATTATCCAAATGGTAAAAGAGGTCCATTAATAGTTGTAACTCCACTTCTTTTCTCTTTTGGAGTAAGTGAAAATAAAGATCAAAAAACAGGTAAATTAAATGGTTACTCAGTTCCAATATGTCTTTGGGAGCGAGATGGTGTACCAAACCAAAAAGAACTATCATTTTTTTGAAGTTATAAATAGTATTAATTCATTATGCCAAAATCATTTAGAATCAGAATATGGACCGGATTTAGCATCACATATGACTTCTCCATTTTATTTTAAAACCATTACTTACACAGATAAAAAAGGAAGAGAAAAAACTAAAAAAGATGATACATCAGCACCAATTCTTTATGCAAAACTTATTTACTCTGAAAAATCAAAGAAAATATTATCTTTGTTTAAGGGAAAGGGAGGACGTGATTTAAATCCTTTAAAATATATTAATCAATACTGTAATGTTAAATTAGCATTAATAATAGAAGGAATTTTTATAAGTAAGACTAACATCTTTACAAATAAAAGTACATGAGTGTTATGTCAAACCATTAAAACCTAGAGAGGCTTTACTAACAATTGAAGAGGAAGATAGTGATAGTGATAGTGATAGTGATAGTGATAGTGAAGAGATAACTGATCAAGTAGTTGAAGACTTAATTTTATCTGATGAAGAAGAAACTAAGTAAATAACTATTTTTAATACAAATTTTGTATTAAAAATCAACCAAATCCTTTGAGCCAACCCATGAGTTAAATTTATCAGGATATCCACTCCATTTCACTAATGCCATTTTTTTCTTATTATCTCGTCTGATAATTTTTTCTATTCTAAAAGTTTGTTGTTTTGCTTTTTGTAGTTCTTGCTCGTAGAAAGAACCCTTAATCTCTTCTCCCATCAAATCCACAATGTTATATGTAATAGGTTTTGTTGGTAAAACTTTATCAATTACAAATATCTCCTCTGTCCAGTTTGGTGTGTAGCCTTTATCGAATACTTTCCTCTTATACTTAGAAATTCTAACATGATCACCAACCACAAATTTTGATTTACCAGGTTTCAAGTAAATTAAATCACCGTACAAATTAGACCAAACTATTTTTTTATTCTTCTTTTTACTTGCTTCAACAGGAGTCATTTTTATACTAGAATGTCTCGTATTATTGTAATCATTAACTAGTTTATCTAACTTATCCCAGTAAACAGTGTTGTTATTAACTGTAAACATTTTCCACATTCTGTTTTTCATTGTTTTATTCCATCTCTCAACAACACTAGATTTTTCTTCATTTTCAGTGTGATACAAATTTATACTCTCTCTTTTTAAAAAATCTTTGAAATGTTTACTTATAAACTCAGAACCTTTATCAGTCCATAACATTTGAGGTTTACGTTTACTTTTGAATATATCATTAAATGCTTTACTGACAGTTTCAGTTTTCTTATCTTTTAATTCCCTAATCCATCCATATTTGCTAAACACATCAATAACCATGAGCAGATATTTAATCCCTTTGTTCCACTTACTAAACTTTTGCATTTCAACTAAATCAGCAGCCCAGATTTCATCAATCCCATTTGAGATTACTAATCTCTTTTGAAAGTTTCGTGTGATTGGTTTGTGAAGTTCGTCGGCTAATTGTTGAGACCAATCACTACTCAACGCCGCTTTACGTTTTTTTGTTCCCATTCCAAGTTTTTGTTTAGTATTTATTATAGTTCTTGCCAACCAATGTCCCCATTGTCTTTCTTTCCAAGGAATTGCATCCAATGATTTTACCATCTTTCTATCAGCTTTATTTTTACACTTTCGGTCATCACCACAAACACTATAATCAACATCATGCTGCATAGCCACAGCATCAGTTGGACCAGTTGGTTGATCATAAATTTCTAATATTTCACCAGTTTCTGGATTGTATCTTACTTGGTTTTCGAGATCATTATAAGGACCTGTATATTTATGTCCTGGTAAGGTCAACCAACCTTTTGGTATTGGTAATTTACCAATCTGTTTATGGATATCTACAGCACCACCATATTTATTTTTAACTTCTGCTACAGATTTGTATATTTTATTGGTTCCTAATCCTCCACTAAAAAAATCTCTTACATGAGCATACCCAATTTGTTTGCCATTTTTCTTGACAACCATTATGGGTTCACCTTCTTTGAGATAAAATTTTTTACCATCATAACGAAACACAGTTGTTTTACCTGTCCAGAAATTGGAAGTAAATATTCCATCTTCTGAATTAACAACACCTTTGGCAGTATCACCAGACCAATAATCTTTGAATACTTGCTTTGTTTGAGGAAACAAGGTTTCTGATATTGTTTGTCCCACATTTATTCCTGTTTTGATTGGACCAACAGCATCACCAACACCTTTGCCCGCCTTCCCAGACGGGCTGATTAGTTTTTTGACTTTCGTTTTGTTTTGGACTTTTTACCACTTCCAGTTTGAGAAGTTGATTCAGTTTTCACATATCTAACTTTTTTATTTCCACAAACTGCACATCTACAAAAGAATTGAGTTCGCCCTCTTTTATCAGTTTGGTAACCACTTGGCTCTGTGCAAGGAGTTACTCTTTTATCTACAATACAATATGATTCTTTCATTTAATATAATGTTTAGATAAAATATGACTACTAGATCTAATTTTGTTAAAAGTGAACTTCAAAAAATATACAACAGCCTTAACACAAGTTATGAAAATGCTCAACATTTTAGAATGGAAAATGATTCTAGATTTATAAAAATATTTGAGTTGTTAATGGAAATAAGTGAGAAATCAAATACTTTAAGTAATATTATAAAAGGTAATTATCTGTTTATATAGTAAATGGAGGCTAAATTCTTTTCTGAGATAGAGAAAAATATGGATGTTAAAACAATAAAAGATTTTGAAAAGGAAGTAAGGAAAAAAATATATAATGAGTTGGAGACACTTAGAAAGGAAAATGATGATCTTTCCAGAGTACTAATTGCAGCTGAAAGTGATATGTGGAAAAAAATAAGAAATGAGGAGTATTCTTGGTTGCAGTTAAATAGTGATAAAAAGAAGAAAATTTATAGACTTATTGATATTTACTCAAATTTTCTTGACATAGTTGATAGTGTTAAAGAATTAAATACAAAAGTTGAGAAAGTTAAACAACTAAAGGATACACCAGTGGATAGTGAATAAAACTATTTAAAGAGTATGAAAATAATAATTAAATGGAAGTTATATCTAAAGTTCAAGATAAATGTGAAGAAATTATTATAGATTGGTTTAAGGAGATTTTTAATATAGAAGATAAAGAAGAAATTAAAAGTGTTATAATTTACTCTAATAATGAAAAAATATATGAAATAAGTTTTAAAGATTAAAAATATAATATTTAATAAATATTATATTTATCCTCCAAAATAAGCTTTTATAAAATCACTATTGTCATCATCAAAATGTGGGTTATGTATTACATCTAGAATACTAGTACCACGTTGTCGCTCAAACGAATAATATAAACACCAATATCCACAGAGAACAGTATTGCGATTTTGTATTTCATCCATTGAGTAAACTATTTGTTTACCAGAAGTATTAAAATACTCTAATGCTTCATTTGGCATTATCAGTCCAAATGGATCAAAGTACTCAACAACCTTACCAATATTTCTGTAACAAACCCAGTGTGTTCCAGGACCTTGAATATCATCTAGATTAATTATTCCACATTCTTTTCTAATCTTTTTTGGTAGTCTATCCCTACTATATATACCCCTTAAATGTTTAATACCACGTCTTTTTATCCAATCCATGAGGTCAAAGTTGGATAGAGGTTTAATTACAAAATGGTTCCTAGAATGGGGATTGAGTTGAATGGGCTGTTTTTTCCTAGTAGTAGTCCTTTTCCCTTGGATTTGGACTTTTTTTTTTTAACCCCCATTCCTATTGGGTTTTCCCAAGTTCCAATAAAGGGTGGTGAGCGATAAGGATAACCTTCACCATATGTGGATGGAGGAGGAGGAGGATGTGGAACGTAAACATTTGCTCTATTAGATGATCCACGTCTATCAACTTGTAGTCCTCCACCTAACATTTTAGAAACTAAACTGATTGCCATTGGAATTCCAATAGAAGCAAGAGTACCTAAAAATCCTCCTTCTATCTGTTTACGAGTTGGTTTGATAACTACTCGTCCACCAGTTTGAAACATTTTATTTATTAGATCTATTTGTGATTTTGTTAATTCTCCTCTAATAGCGGGTAACATTGGGAAAAACTTTTTTGGAATTGTAATTCCTTTTCCAAATATTTTATTTATTCCAAGTTCTCCAAGTGCAGTAGCACCACCAGTTGCTAATGCAGGAACAGCTTTTGAAATTCCTTTTATTGCGTAAGGTAATACTCGCGCTCCGATAGAAGCAAGTGATGAAAATAAGTTTCCACCATGTTTTACAGAACGTCTAATCTGAGTTTTACTTATCTTTATATCAGATCCCGTGCCATTTGCAATAGATTTTTTTATTTTAGAAATTTGTCTTTTTGTTAACATTAACTCATCAGAACCTTTAAGATGTGAATGTTTTAAACGAAGAGTTAGTGGTGATTTATTTCTGATTGCAGAAACCAGTTTTGATTTCTGCCCATCTGTAAGTTTTACTCCGTATTCAATATAAGTAGTCATTTTTATTTAATTGGTTATATTATTTTTTTGTGGTGGATTTCAATATTTGATTAAATATTGAAATTATATTATATTTGCTTTAGGAAGATTAATTGCATCCCATATACTTTTCTTTTTAGGTTTAGGTTTATTATATTTTTTTAGTGTATTTTTAATAATTTTATCTTGTTTTGCCTCAAGTTGATATTGTAACTTTAAATTCTTTAATTTTCTTGCTTTCTTAGCATTTTCTGATTTTAAAGTCTCAAGTTGATCTCTATCTCGTTGCCTTATTTTAGAACGATTTAATCTAGTAACATAAGGTAAAGTTTTTTTAAACTGTGTTTTACTGAATTTTAAGTCAAGTTGTTTATTGAGTCTTTTTGCTACTTCTACTTTTTTAATTTGGGAATTTGTAAGAAAAACTTTAAAAGGTTCTTTTTTAGATGTAAAGTCTAAAGTTATAATAAAGTTTTTTCCAAAATTTTTTATTTGTAATGGTGTTAAGTTTATAACATATTCAAAGTATTTATTTTCTTTTAAAAAAGGATATTTTTCTAAAGTTACTGGTGGATAAATATCAAAAGGATTTACCATTTTTTATTTTATTTTTAGATTAAGCACGAAGTAATAATTTTCCATCTTGCTGTGATATTTCTGCTATTCTTTCATGTAAGACTAGCGCGTAAATATTATAATCAGCGTTTGGATTAGCAGATAATTCGTAATGAAATGCTAATTTTGTAACACCATCTTTGATATCCATTTTTTGTTTTGTTAGGTCAAAATAAACAAAAGGAAATAAAGTTTTGAAATTAGTTCTATTAAGTAATGTTCCACCTTGATAATCATTATTTGCATAGACGTATGACATTACATTTCTAAAAACTCTTGCCATATCAGTAGATGGTTTTAAGTGAATATCTGGATATTCGTTTCCATTTGCAACTTCCAGGTAACATCTTGATATATTAGCATTATTTGGTAAATCAAAGGTATCATATAAAAATGGATTGGCTGTTTGTGAATCAATTCTTGCTGTATCAATTCCAAAAACAAATACATGCCTTGGCTTTGAAATAGCATTTGTAATTCTAAAATGTCCTGTCTGTTGCTGTGAATTATTTGACCTTTCAACTACTTCATTCAAATATACCCATTTGTAAGGTTTAAGATAATTTTCCATATACAGCTTTTGTCCTTCTGAATTAAACGTAAGTTTTGGAATAAAAAGTTGTAGTCTTGTTATAATAACTCTACAATCATCAGCAGCTTTAAAAATTAAATTTGCATCTTTTTCAATCTCAATATTTAACTCAATTTTTGTATTAGGAAGTAGTTTATCTTCCAATGCTTCAAAGAAAGAATATCTATTAAGAGGAATTTCACAGTTTACTGTGGCTGATACACCTAATAGTAATTTCCTTTGATGAAAACCTGAATAATAAGTTCCTTGAGCAGGTCTTTCCTCTGCAGCTCTTGAAGTATCAAGAAAATAAAATTCGTTTGTAGCTACACTCTGTGCATATGAAGGATTATACTCAAGTAAATTTTTAATATTTACAACATGATTCGCATAATTACAACTATAAACTTCTCGTCCATTTGCCAGGATACTTAATTTTTCTATAAAGGAGTTACTACCATTTACAATTCCATTATGGTCAGCAACCGCTATATTTCCTCCATCTGCCAGTTTATTTACTTTAAAATCCATTGATAATCGGGCGTTATACCAATCAAAAGGGGTGGTTTCTCCTGTATTATCAGCAACAAATCTAAGACCTGTTTTAGTTTGGTGCGCGTTATTTGCTGGGGCTGTATCTAGAGCCTGTTCCAGGTCATAAACAACATCCTCATATCTATCTAAATATTTTGGATTTCTAAATGACTTCATTTTATTTTAATAATTATATAATTTTTCTCTTACGTGTTGAACCTCCACTAAAAAGGTTATTCAACATTTGATCTATCTCTTGTTGAGATAATGTTTCAACATTTTTATTAAAATTAACTTTTTTAGCAGGGGGTTTTCGGGAGGGAGTGCCTTTTGATAACATTTGCACTATTTTATCACCAGCCTTTTTACCAACATGTTCACCAGTTTTTGTTGCAGCTGATGTTAGTGCTTTTTCAACACCTTTTTTAGCAGCTTTTTTCATTGTCTTTCCAAATAATTTTGAACCAACAGATTTAAACACATCCATCATTCCTTCTCCATAGATGTGTTGTCTTGTATATCGCCCCAATTCTGGGTCAAGTTTCTTTTTAAACTCTGATTTTCGCATCATTTTATTTTAATAGTTATATTACATCGAGTGGAGAATCAAAGTCATAAACCAATCAATACCATTAAAATTTACTGGTCTTCCAAGTGAGTCTGTCACATAGATTCTCATTTCATCAATGTGAAATGATGATAAAGAGCAATACAAAGGTCTTTTAGGTTCAAATGTAAATGGAAAAGACCTTGTAAGATTATCAGTTGGTATCACAGCAATAGTATTTGTATTTATCCCATTTACAATGCTATCAGTTATTGCGCTTGTGTTGATATTTAATACATCGATTGAATTTGTTATATTTGGTAGTTTTGTACCATACTCTGTTTTTGTAATAATTTTTTTTTCAAATCCAATCAGGTCTCCAAATTCTGTTCCTCTCAAATCAAGTTGATAATCACCATCAAGTGATATGAGAACTCGATAGGTAGATAGTATAAAAGTTAGATTGATTGAATAAGTTTTTTTTCCACCCGCGCCTGTTGTGTGGTGAGACTTTTGGTCCATGTACTGATGAATATAATCATTAAGATCTGGGTAGGAATACATTCCATCTACAAAAGTAATTGTTTGCCAAGTCCTTCCATCATGAGTGTATTTGATTTTGTTATTTCCATAATCACTTCTAATGTTGTACCAAGAGTAAGTCATAGACAACCGATCAAGAGCAAGTTGATGTTTCTTTTCAGGGTCAAGTTTCAAAGATGGATTAAACTTAATAGTAAAATCACCAGGTCTGCTTGTTCCTCTTTTTTTCCTATTTATTGAGGAAATGTGAATAGCTCGTTCTTCCATTTTATTTATTAACTATATAATTATTTAGTAAATCATTAAGTTGTTTTTTTGTAATTACTTTCATTTGGTTGAGAAGATGTGCTATTTGAGAAAACTCAGGTATCACACCATTATTCCCAGCTAGAATTGAACCACCAAGTAATTCAAGTCTGTCTAGAAGTTGATGTGGGTTGTTAAAGTAAATACCTTGCTGGGGCAGTCCTTCCCCCATCTTATATTTAAGCGATCTTAAGTAATCTTTCATAGTATTTTTATATTTCATTAGTGTTCCTTTTTCCATTTTTTTAATTTCAGTTTCAGTTTCATATAATGGAGATGGATTTTTAGCTTTCTTTCTACCACTAATTTCACCAGTTAGTTGTTTTATATTACCTTTTATATCTTCTAAATATTCATCTAAAGTTTTAGGATTAATTTCAAAAAAATCGTTTGGTCTTGGGTATCCAAATTCTTTTAATAACTCAAGATCTCTTCCTTCAAAGTTTTTTTCTAAATTTAACCTTGTATCATAAGTTGGAACTGGCCCCCAATTTACATCCCATCCTTTTTTGTTTTCATAGTCTTCTTCAGAATATGGTAATTCTCTCATATCAGCTAATCGGTTAAATTGTTCAAAACCTTGAGTAAGAGCAAGTTGATTTTTTTTAAGTTGTGCTATAGTTGCGTTTTGCTGATCATCAATACTTTTTTTAATACTATCTTGAGATTTAATAAGTGGTTTAAATGTCTCTTTAAAACCTTCTCTCATATTTTGTTTTTGCCATTTTGTTATTTTTATTACATCTCTCACCTGTTGAGTTAAAGCGTCAGCTTCAATTTTATTTCTTGCAAGTTTTTTGTATTCTTCAATATCCATTTTATATAATAAATAGATAAATGGAAATACTAAACTATGATAGTGTCGATGACCCAGATAAAAAATATAAACAGTTATTTCCTTACATGCCATCAGACACATTTCGAATGTTAATTTGTGGAACCAGTGGAAGTGGTAAGACTAATCTTTTGTATCATATGTTAATTAAACCACTTTTATACTTTGATGAAATTTATCTTTACGCGCGTAATTTAGAGCAGGATAAATACAAAAAGCTAATGCAAAAAATGAGAGAACTGAGTTCTAAAGTTGGTTATGAAATACTTCATGTGAGTAATGATGAAATAACTCCAGTGACAGAAATAGATTACGAAGACAATCAAAAACTTGTGATATTTGATGATTACGTTTGTGATAAAAACCAGAGACAACTTATTGATTATTTCATCCAAGGACGGCATAAAAATTGCTCTGTAATCTACCTCAGTCAATCATTTTACAAAACTCCAAAGGATATTCGATTGAATTGTTCTCACTACTGTCTGTACGAATTTCCATCATCGAGGGAAGCAAATCGCATATCATCTGAATTAGGAGTTGACAAAGTTACATATAAAGAAGCAACTAAAAAACCATTTACTTTTCTATACGTTGATAAACCCAGAAAACGTATTGCAAAAACCTTTACTAGTAATCTATAAGGGGAACCTACGGTTCCCCTAACACCCCTCCCTCTCAAGAATATAAGAATATAATCATTAAATAAAAATGGGAATATTTAACGAACAATCTTTTGATCATCCTTTTGCTAAAGGAATACAGGGTGCTCCAGGAGTTGGTTTTAGTCTAACCACAGATGGAAATTATGATATGAATAAAAAGAAACTCACAAATGTTGGAGAACCCAGTGCTAATACTGATGCTGCTACAAAGAAGTATGTTGATGATAATTCCAGTGGTACACCCACAACAACACGATTAACAGTTGATTCAAACATTGATATGAAGAATAGTTACCGAATTACAAATCTTAGCACACCACTGGATGGAAAAGAACCTCCTACAAAAGATTATGTAGACAACACTTTTCTTGAAAGAGATGGTTCCTACCCAATGAAAGGTAATCTGAATATGGATAATAATCGAATATTTAATCTACCAGCTCCAACAGGTTCCAATCAACCAACACCATTAGCTTTCACAGATTTAAAGTATGTAGCCCGTGATGGTTCATCTACAATGACTAATAATCTAAACATGGATAATAAAAAAATAATTAATCTTAGACCACCAACATCAGACAATGATGGTGCAAACAAAAAGTATGTGGATGACTCAATACCTGATACTAGTTCTTTTATAAAAAAAGATGGAAGTATAACAATGACTAATAACCTAAATCTTGGAAACAAAAAAATAGTTGGTCTTGCAACTCCAACAACAAACACAGATGCTGCAACAAAAAAATATGTTGATGATAACACAGGTGCCCCAGATTTAAGTGATTATTTAGAAAAAGATGGCACTGTAACTATGACTGGGAACCTTAATGTTGGTAATAATAAAATAATAAATCTTGGTAAACCAACCCAAGACAATGATGCGGTAAATAAAAATTACGCTGACAAACTAGTTCATCACACTGCAGTTCAACCAAGTCATTACAACGACCAGTTTGCTTATCTTATGTCAAGTGGGTCTCAATGGACTGATGAATCAAATGGAGGAAATAGTTTTTTAGTAGATAAAATTGATGTACTTACTCCTGCAAATGGAAACTTTCACGATTATAATCACAAAGTTATTTATTATAAAATAAATAAAAATTTGCGGTTGGGGGGATACAGTTATAAGATGGGAATAAACTTTTATCGACTTGCTTATAACACAGATTTTACACTTTGCTTAGAATTACTTAACACTGAATATCTACTGTGGCATAAGTCCCAAATATCTGTTGATAAAGGAAGCTCGTCTGGTTTGACGATTGGTAATGTTAGTATAAAAAAACTATCTCATAGGTATACTGATTCTGAAAATCAATCACAATTAATGTATTATCACAGAATTATAATTAATTTTAAAAAGTTAAATATAGGTAATAGATTCTTTCTTCACATTTCTGTTAACATCCCCCAGTCAGGAACTGATCTTAGACCATATCCATTACAGTTTAAAGGTGCTTACTTGATTGCCTATGGAATTGTTGGAACATTTAGCAATATTGATCCAGATAAAGTTTACGACTATCACACAGCATTTGATATCAAACCAACAGAAGTGGTGTACAACGTTGATATAAATGCAAATCAAAAAGAAATTAAAAATATCAAACTTAACCGAAACAGTGATAATAATGTTGCAACAATTGGATTAGTAAAAGAGTTAATCCCTCACATTTATAATAATCTTTACAGGGAAATTTTTGAAAAATATTATGATTTTAGTGATGGTAGTATTTATGGATTACGAACTGGATCATTTGGAGTTATTATTAATTCTTTTAAACCTAATATTACAATACCAAATAAGGATCTAAGTATTATAAAAAACGACGGAATAAATGTAAATGGATATACTTTAACTTTTAATCCTTCTAATCATACTTCAAATTATACACTATGTATTGTTCTTACTCATTGGAGAAATAGAAATTTAAATTTAAAAAAGATAAGAAGAAGTGATGGTAAAATAATAACAAATGTTACATACGATACTGATGGCAATGAATTTGCATTGGAAGTTGATAGAAATGTAAGTACATCTTTTACTGCTCTAAATAGTTTTAATGGGAAAAAAATTGTAATATGGTTAACAGAAAGTTTTAACTCAAATGTTGCAAAACTTAATGTAAGTAACTATAGCTCAACATTAACTTTAAACTCTACTGTTTACGCTAATGACCAATATTGGACTCTTAATATTGATGATGGGGTAATTTATAGATTAATGTCTAGTCCAAACTTTTACGACATCGGCTCTGATCAATTTCATAAAGTAATGCTTCAAGAAAAGTTAAATGGATCTTATGTAATATAAATATAAAATGAAGGATATCTTTGAATTTAATCACATAGACCCATCTCTGTCAAAATCAGATGTTAAAACCCTAAAAGACTTTTATAGTCATTACCACAAGAAATACTGGTGTTTTAAGAGGTCTTATAAGAGTTATAAATTTCTTCATAATTTTTTTACAATCTCTGGAATATGTTTGGTAGCAATTGGAACTATTTCTGGTGGAATTACACTTAATCCTGTAGTTCTTGGAGTTGTAAATGGTGCTGGAGTTATTATTGCTGGAGTTGGAAAGAAAAATAATTACAAGAGGAAAATTGAGATGTCAAGGATCGCTTTTACCACTTATGAGAAAGTTCTCGTTGAACTGCGAGCTGCACTTAGAGGAGATGAGTGGAATAAAAAGAGTTTGTTGATCGAATTAAATTGATAGATGAGATGATAATTGATTTAACTCCAATAGCGGATAGATTTGAAAGTAGGTATAATAAAAAATTTAATATAAGTAATAAATAAAATGGAAGATTTAGAGAAACAATTTATTGAATCTTGTGAATCTACTTTATTAAAAGAAGGTAAAGAAATTTGTGAAGAAGTATTAGTTATGATAGGTGAGCAAGATAAAATGGAGATGGAAAAAGCTGAAATTTTTTGTAATTATTTTCTTAGACATAAACCAGATGGAGTAGAAACTACTGAATTAGAAAAAAGATGTATGAAATATAAAGAAGATTTTTGTAATTATTTTAACTATAAAAGACTTTTTAAGAATAATAGAAGAGAAATAGATGAAATTCTAAAGAATAATATGAGATTAAAGAAAATATAAAATATTATATCAATTTCTAAATGAAATAATTATTTAGAAATTATATATTTTTAATGATCCTACGAAATATCCTAAGATTATTCTTCTATATCAAATATACTTTTTGGATATAATTTCTCTTTTCTCAAAAGTTTTTTAAGACCTTCAACATCCTTACCCCAAAAGAATTCATCTAATTTCTTTTTCTGTTCCTCATTCATTGTAAGTCCATAACCTTCAGCAAAATAAGCATCTTCATCCATTTCTTTTTTGTTTAAATAAAATTGTTCTGGAGCTCTAGTTTTCTCAAGAGCTCTAACCAATTCGTGTACTTTTTTTCCAACTACAGGATCTTCTACCTCTACACTTATTTTTATAGGTATATATTCATCACTATTTAGTTGAATATATTTTCTTAGATTATGAAAAATATAATCTCTATATTTATCCTCTTTCGGTGCCATAACCAATTCCATTTTTTCTTCATCCGTTAATGATGTTAAATCTTTTCCTTCTATTAACTCTTCATATGATTTTGATGGTAAATCTTTCTCTTGGTTTTCTTTTGAGTAATCTTTCTCTTGGTTTTCTTTTGAGTAATCTTTTTTTACATAATTATTAGCTATATATTCTCTCTCTTCCAATGATAGATTATCAGTATCTATAAAACCAAGAACGTTACCCAAAGTTCTTTGCATAATAATTAAATCTTCTAAAACTGATGGATGAAGTTTGTATAACACTTCACAAATATGTTCTAAATTTAATAAAGATCTAGGATTGATTTCTATCTTCATTTTTTAATTTGTTATATTTAATTCTTTAAATTTCAATTTAATATTACTATAATAATAAAATGATTAACACAATAGTTCATTATGTTAACTTTTACTATCCTACTCTCAAGAATCTTACTTACTCAGAAAATCTTATAAAGACAGCGCTAATATATAGATTCCTATACGAAACTACTTTTAAGAAACATATTACTCTAGAAACAATAATATATAAATTAGAAAATAGATCTATTAAATCTAATAATAGAATTTTAAATAATCATTTAATGTTCTACAGAGCTTTTAAATCTTTTCATAAACACTACAAACTTGGAAGAGGATGTGTATATGCATTTGATTCTTCAATAAATTCAGAAGTACTTGGTTATCTAACTGGAATATTTTACTGGATTTTTCATAAAGGATTAATATAATTATAGAATAAAATGGCAGCTGTTATTATTAGAAAAAAAGATCTTGAAAATCTTGGAAGAAAATTAATGAAAGAAGTTTACAAATTTTTACATGATGAGTATATACTCTCTTTTGAAGAAATGAAATTAGAAAAAGATAAATTAGAAAAAAATCTTGTTGTATTTAAATTTCAAAGTTTTAACTTTACCACAACGCAAAAAGGAAATACATTGAGAATAGAACATGAAAAGGAATTTAAAAAAATAGAAAATGAAATTAAAAATGAAAGTCTTGATATTAATTTAATATTTAAAGTTCTAAATCATTTAGAATTAGATATGAAAATCGATGAAGATTTATATTTTAAAACAAAAGGATTTATACACATCTTTAAAGTATTCGATATAGATTATACTTATTTAGAAGATTAGAATTTTATATTAAATTTTAATATAAAATTATTTCTTTAAAATCCTTATATTTATCCCACCACTTTTCATAAATCTCTAAAGTTTGAGGACTAATCTTAAGAACAATAAGTTTATACTTTTCACATCCCATCTCCTCCAAAAGTTTTTTAGATAAATAATTAATATTTATCATTCTCTTTCTAAAATATTGCTTGTTTAGTTTTTCCATGATGTAATTATCTATTTTTACAAGTCTATCATAAAGTTTACATTTCTCTTCATCATTTAAATTTATTCTTTTAGAAATTTGATTAACCTTTTTCTCATAGTGATACTTTCTATGATAAGTACTCTTTTTTCTATAATGAAATCTATCTAAATCTTTTATATCGAATTGACCTAGAACATATCCGTTTAATACTCCACATTCATCACAGATTTTGAGACCAGAATCAATTGTAAAAGATTTAGTATTTGGGCAACCTTTACATTTTGATTTTGGAGTAATTTGCTGCATGGATTTGTTATAGTTAGATAATATATTTAGATATTTATTTATTTCTTCTTCTGTGTAAGTCATTTATTATTTATTATAGATTTACTTTTAAATAATTTTTATCTGAAAGCTAAAGTATGAATCTTATCCTTTAAGACATATCTTTTATCATCTTCATTACTTAGAGCAATTTTATTTACTTCCTTAGAATAAATATCATGCTTTTCACTTCTTATTATATTCATCTTTCTCATTTGTTTTTCACCTGAAAATAAACATTTAAAATAATCATCAAAATCTATTGACTTTTTTACAACATTGGACTTTATTCCTTTACACTTCTTTATTTCTTTTTCATCCTCAACTTTATAGCAATAAAGTTTTGGGCGAAGACCGACAAAATGTGTTATCTGTTGGCCAGCTACTTCATCTTTAAACATCCCAATTACTTTCTTATTAACTCCTGTTTTTATACCAGATTCATGATTAGTAGGATAATCACTAGTATCAAACTTATCTTGAACATCACCCGCTATATCTTTATAAAAATCTTTTGTTTTAATTTGAAACATTAAAGAATCTGTATCAGTAAACAACAATTCAGCTTTTTTACCATATTTCTTTTTAATGTATTCGTAATGAAAATTGAACATTAGTGTTTTTGATAAATCTAGAATTGCTTGACCAACATACACTGGTTTGTTAAAATACCCTTTAGTATTTTCCATATGTACTGCAATAAGATGTTTATCAAATATTGTACATCTATCAAAGTTGGGTCTACTTGATAGTTTAAGAGCTAACTTACGATTATCAACTATTTTTACATTTTGCCTTTTTCTTATATTTTCTATTGTTTTACCAAAAACTGAATTGTTCATTAATTTAAAAAAGTCTTTCTCAAAATTGTTGGCTGCTGTCTTTCGAAGTTCTGTATTTTTTCTAATATATGGTTCCATCCAAGGAGATTGGTAAAATGATATTCCTCTATGTACAGCAGTTAACCTCATACCCAACTCTAAACATTGCCTAAGAGTTCTATAATGCACAACATAATTGGTTCTAGGTTTGAAATGACAAATACGTTTTTCTACACCATTAACTTTTATCTTCTCTGGAGCAAGAGGATAATCATTATGAGTTTTCCATAAATGTTCTGGATACTCCAAATCAACTTCAAATATATATCCTTTTTTATAAGGGTTTGCCATACTATGATTTATTTTATCAAGAATTTCATACAACTTTTCTTTTGTTAAATTTTTCATCCATTTAAATCCATGTGTTGGAAGATGTTGTGACATAGCCCAACCATAAAGATTATTTGCATCTAAATATTGAATAAATGTTGACTCTTTATAAGGATTATAATTTTTCATATATTTATTATTTGCTTCTGCATATCGTTTTGATATATGTGTTATTCCACCACGAATACCTTGCTCAAACATCATTAACATATCATAATCACTTAATAACTGTAAATTCTGACCTGTAGTTTTGAGACATGCATCCCAAGCTAATCCAGGAGATGTGTAGTAATGAGCTGGATCTAGTTTATAATGTTTAAGACAAGTAGCTCTAAAGTTTTCAAATACATCTGCTAAAAGTAATACATCAGACTTAAGATACAGATTATGATAATCTCTTAACGTTTTACATCCAAAGGTATTCCATACGTTTATTGCGTGTTGGTAATCTTCATCTGATATATCTTCATCATTAAGTTTTGAGTAAAATTCTTCTTTTGGTGGAAGTTGTGTTTCTAATAATTTATCAAGTGATGAAACATAATCATAAGGATAAACACCTTTGTGAGTAAGTAATGAAGTATTAGTCTTAAATATATATTTTGTATTATGAAAATCATCTGGGGATAAATTTGAAACAAGATTGGCTAGTGATGTTTGAAGAAACTTGAATGAATCTATAAATCGTATTTCAAAAGTTATATCTGCACCATTAATCTCATCAACTTTAATTTTTTTATTATATGAAATATATTTTTCTTCTGTAGATGGTATACACTCCAAATTTCCTTCTAATCTATAAAGTTGTTTTATAAATAGATGTGCATCATATCCTTGAAGATTGTGAAATATAACTGGTAATACTTTTTGTTTACGACACTTAAGATTACATTGATTATGTGCTGCACCGCGATACTTTCCTGTGAAATGACAATGATCACGTACTTTATCTTCTCCTAATTCAAGACTACAAATATGACAAGTTTTTGCTTCATTAAATAACTTTTGATCTTTAGGACTCATTTTTAAAGGTTTAAATCTTTTATAAAAATCATTGTAAATTCCTGTTGTTACTTCTTCAAGTTTTTCTACAAATACTTTTGCTATGTTTTCATCCTCAAAAGTTTTTGTATAAGTAATTGGTGTTATATGTATACCAGGTACTATTCCTTTGACATAAAAACAAAATCCTGATGGTTCATGAAGTTGATAGTTGTAATTATAAGATTCTTTAGGGCAAGGACTACAACTATTCATTGGTTTTGTAAAGCATTCAAAATCCGCATAAACAACAAAAGGAACAGGAAGTTGTTTGTAGTAATTTTTGAAATGTAAAAATGTATTTGGTTTTGGCATATCAACAACAGCTGTTTTATTATTAGAGCAATATTCAATGTGTTTATCTAGTAATTCTTCTTTACTGAAATGCCAAAAACATCTCTTACAAATAAATAATTTTTTATTATTACTTTTAGTTATTTGAGATCTTACTAATCTATTAAAATTTTTAACTAGAGTATAATGTGATTTTCCATCTTCTTCAATTAAAAATAAATCAATAGTATTTTTACAATCTTTACCCTTCATTATTTCTCTACCAGGAACAATACAATCTTTTTCATCCAAATAAAATATATTTATTCCTGGTAAATCTGGATTAAGATTCTCAAATTTATTAATATCATTTTTACTAATTGGAAAAGTAATTCCTTTAGTGTTAAGTGAGTTTTCATATTTCTTTAAATCTCCTATCCACTCAGCATCTTTTTCTTTTGGATGAAGATATCTAAGTATACACCAAAGAAAGCATTTATCATCTCTATTTTTAATATTAATTATTGCTTTTTTATCCTTTATCCATTTTGGAAGATCAATATAGGATGAACCCTTTGTTGGATTATGTTCAGTTGTATGAATTTCTAGTTGTACAATTTCTTTTAAATACCATTTACTTCCATCTCTTGTATAATTATCAACTCTTGCATATATATTATTATAGCAATATTCCAATAATTCATCTGAGTCACTAAATCTAAGATTTTCAACTGTTTCAGAATTGAAATAAGCTTTAGTAGTAACTATATTTGAAATACCATCTTTATTATATTCCGTTTTTTCCAAAATGCAGACTAAGATTAATCTAAATTTTATTCCTTTGTGAAAGTTAAGAAAATCTATTAAAGTTTGTTTTATGTGTCTTAAAAACTGTTCTAGGTTCATATCAAAAATACCTTCAATAACATACATATTAGCAAAACCACTAATAGCGGATTTTTCCTTTACTAATCCTTGATCATATTCTAACATTGCTCGCTCAAGAGCTTTTTTTAAATAAGGAGGAGTATCTTTAGGAATCTCTTTATTTTTTATACACTCCTCAAAATACTCATCAAATGATTTTATCTTTTTAGGAATGCTATTAACTTTTTTATGTTTTTTGAGTTTCTTTTTTAGATTCTTTCTTATATCAATACCACTTTTTACTTTTTGTCTAACTTCTACCAATTTTTTATACTGATTAATTAATTTTCTTCTTGATGCTAATTCCTTATAATCTTTCTTAAGTTCTTCTTTTTCTTGTGCTATTATATGTCTTATTTCATCCAGTGATAAATTCTGGAATTGTTTATCTGTAATAAAGGGTTGAGAACCCTGAAAACCGTTTTCTTGGTTAGACATGACGTCTTCTAATTAATGATTATATTAGAAGACGATAATCTTTAAATAATCAATTTTATTTATTCATTTCATTTATTATTGATTCTAATTCTAAAAGTCCATTAACCACAATTTCATCTTCAATATATAATCCAAGATTGTAAAATACTCCACGAACTATAATTTTATCTTTACTTATTATTAGATCAATAAAATACCAATCAACAATCTTAAGATTATCTTTTGTAGGATAATTTATATAATTATTTATAAAACCAAATAAATTTAAAATATACTTATAAATATTAATTTCACCCCAATTTTCTTCATAGTTATTATTTAATTCTTTAATTCTATCTTGAATATATCCTCTAATATATAGATTTAGCCAGGGCTAAAAGCGAAGCTCCCATTAATAAATTTATAATTTAAATCAAACAATAAACTTGTAATCCACAAATCAGTTAACTTTAAGGGAAAGCTTTAGGCTAAGTGATTTTAGAGCGAAAAAAAAAATCTTACATCGAATCGATAGCCGTATATATACACCCAAAAAATAGCAATCATCTTCGATCACATTTGAGAGCCATAATGGCTCTTGATCACAGTAGATTAGGCCTGGAAAACGAATTTTTGGAAAACAAATCAGGCTGAATTTTTGGCGTTCGACAAGTTTACTTAACAAAAACTTGCCAACATTTAAACCAACATTTCATACTTTTTATACATCACATCTAAAGATATGAGGCGTTGTTATCATATAGACCTCAGACAAAATGCAGTATTTCACAATTTTTCAAGACAAATTGCACTCATTCAATATTCAGAACCGTACGAAGCACTCGTGGGCTTTTGGCAAAACCGTTCAAAAAATTTCCAAAATCATTTATACGGCCAGCCGGTTCTCACTTTTGACAAGCGCCAAATTTTCAGTGAACATTAAACGAGTTACGCTTCAACATAATAAAGAATTTATTGTGTTTATTTTTTTTATTAAATGGTTTTATAACGATGTGCAATCTTAAAAAGCGTTTGATACGAGCAGCATTTTGAGTACTCCTGCAAGCGTTGTTTATGAACGACTGAAAACAAACTGCAAAGCGATTAAAATTGTAAGAGACTACTAACAATCAATAAAAGAAATGTAATTCGGTGAAATATTTACAGAGACAACAATTTTCATTCAGGAAGACAAGTATTAAAGCGTCTCTAAAAACTGAGTCTTTAAGCTTAAGCTTAAAGCTTTTAGCCGGCTTCCTGGTGTTTACTGTTTTGAAAGATGAACTCGAGGCAAGAAAACCGCTCAAAGCTTTCTTTCTACAGCCAAAATTATAACTAAATACGCTTCGGAAAGTTTTTTCGTTCTATATGCGGAGAGAAAATATCGACTAAAGGCTTTTTAAAGTTCTGTAAGCTTATATATACTAGATCAGATCATTGTCTCAGATCTTAACACAAACGTGCATAAATTAGCCTCCTAAACTGCGCTCGACTTCATGAAATTAGATATAAAAAAACAAACATACACTGTATACAATAATTACTTAGGCTTACCATTCGAGATGCAGCTCTTGAAAGCTATAAAGTAAGGCCAGAATCGCTCGAGGGACTTTTCAACCCGCATCCAGCAAGGTAAAAACGAAAGCGATGCATCCGAAATCGGATTTCCAACTTTGGCAACCGGCGCATTTCCCGACCAAAAATTCAATAAACAAACCAGCCATGAATCAAAGAAGACTGTTGATAGCAGCTGTATTTCATTTTAAGCATCCAGTGGAAAAAGACTGTAAAAAACATCACAAGTTGACAAAATACTCTGTCAGCTTCAGCTGTCAAACTGAAAGTAAACAAGGTTCAAGATGCTGTATAAATTTTCTGCATGAACTCACCTGTCAAATTTTGACCAATCAGAGCATAAAAAATTGACGGTCGTAGAGCGTGATCAACGCGTGTCTATGGTGAGAAAAGTGAAAAGCCTCTGTCTTCCCCTGCTTGTATTTTTAAATGACTGGCTGAATTTTCGAGTCCGAGATCAGTTTGAAATCAAAATGTTAATAGCGCGGGGCCATAGTGACATTAACACAACACTTTCTGTCATCATGTCATTATTTTGCTGCCGTTCTCTTTGCCTTTGTATTTCTCTTTCGCGTTGCCTTTGTCTGTTCATTCTAGCTCTGTCTCGTTCTACTTGCCGGCGTTTTTCACTATAATTTTTCTCCTTCTTCTCGCTCTGACTCTTTTACTTGCTTTCTTTTTTTTTTCAAAACCAGTTGCGCGATATAATTGCGCGACGTTGCGCCATGCGATTTCCCGCCAAAAAAATCTGTACTTTCCCCTACCCCAAGAGGCCATGCGGACTACTTTCCACTACCCGGAAAGTCCGTACGGACGGACGTACGCTACGTCATAACCAAATTTTCTGGGATGGATAGTTTACCAAATATTCTTACCCATGGTGCTCCGCTGCGCGCGCGCGAAGCGCGCGCGGGAGCTCCGCTAATAAATTGATACTCTCTTGCGTATTCTGGGATTTTATTTGATTTAATGAAATTCTTAAAATTATACGTACTCGCTAGAAATTTTTGTAAACTCGCTGTACTTCCCACTTTCATAACTACTCATGTCTTTCATAAAAGCGATTCTAGTTGGTCACGTGATTAATCAAGGCAGAAAAATTTATAGCGGAAGACATCCGTGTTTGACTACACAAAATGTCACGGAGATGTTACGTGCTATATACCAGACGTCATCATCTTTGTTTATGAAGTACCATTCATATTTTGGTATTATATTAATGTTGACGAAGTAAGTTGAGTCACTATCAAAAAATTATTACAAAGTGCGATGGAATTATTACAAATTGCGACAGCTTAGTTTATTACAAAGTGCGATGGACAGTTGTTACAAATTGCGACAGCTTTTTTATTACAAAGTACGACACGTTTTATTACAAATTGCGACAGGTATTACAAAGTGCGATGGATTTATTACAAATTGCGACAGGTATTACAAAGTGAGATGATTATTACAAATTGCGACAGTACACACGCCAGCTCACACCACGAAAATGTAGCCTTTGCCGATCGCAGGTTTATTTCCAAAAATGAGTGCACGCGCGTCTATCTTCAGTGAAGATTTGGAAGATCGTTCAAGTCCCGATGGCAATATTGATGACGAACTACATCCAGCGCCAACGAAGAGTTTGTATCGTTTTCGTGTGAACTGCACCTGCACCTATCCCGTAGTCAATGACCGTTGGGGCGCAACGGACGTTGCATCCCTCCCCCTCCATTTTATTTTGTTTTCAGCTTCTCTTACGGGGTCGCAAAACTGCAACCCTGTCCATTCAGCGATACTGTTTTCCCAACACTTCTTTTGTCGGTCCCTTCTTCTCCCTCCTTGCACTGTTCCTTATAAAATCGTCTTGGCAAGCCCTGATGATCTTGATACATGCCCAAACGTCCACCTTAACTTACGTTTCTTTACTGTGGTTAAGATATCATCATAGGGCCCAATGGCTTGGCTTATTCTGTCTCTGACTGCATCGTTAGTGATGTGATCTCTGTATGAGATGCCAAGCAGTTTCGTAAAGCATCTCATATCAGTGGCCTGCAATCATTAGTTCATGTGAACTGCCGTATTATGTACTCTTCCGAGTGGGCCGGTTCAGACATAACCTAAGATAACTTTCAATACGAACAGGGACTGTTCATTTTCACTGCAAAAAAGTCTTGTGAATCGCGGCATGCTTAAATCCAAATTAAATACAATTGGCGCTCAGGTCACATAATACTCTTATGACGACAAATGGGTTTAAAAATTTAAACATCGTCCAAACGGTCGTTGAAATATTGTAATAGAAATATTTTGTGCGTCAAAGTTGATGTTAAGCTATGTTAACCTATGGCCCGATTAGCTTCAGATTGCACACGCTTTATCACACAAAAAGCTAAAAGATAGTTTTTGGCTAAAGTCCGACAATGCTTCTCAAAAAGATAACTACAATAGGTATGGACTGAGAACTTACATTTTTACAGTATTTTTCTTCGAATTAGGAATCACAGCTCTAAAGCATATACTTCATATAAAACAAATGAAATTTAGATTTTATGACTCAACCAACGCAGAACTAAACTACTATTTTTAAAGGTAACGTTGTACTGCTTTGTGGTATAAAAATAAAATAGTCTGCAAACTGTAGAAACATTTTGTAGAACATTATTAAAAGACAACACTATGGTATTTTGCAAAGTAAACTCCTCGTGGTATTGTTTATTTCCCCGGTATACAAACCAAAGTCAAGAATTTTTTCACAAAAACGAATTTGATTTTTTGACCCAGAGTATGGCGACCTTGAAGCACTTCTCACGGGACTCCGCCGTAAAGAGGTTGAAGGAGTGCTGTTAGACGTATTTACTGCATCGTACATCTTCAATAAAAGGGATATTGATACCGATATGTTCGAGCAAGTCACAATCCTGGAGTTTCCGTTTCATATCGGATTATACATGGTGGATTACAACCGTTGTCTAAAACGGTGTATTGAAAACAAAGTTCAGCGAGATCAAACTTGGATTTACCCATCCTTACAAAAACACATCAAAGGTCCATTAGCTAACGTAAGTATAAGCCATGATAATAATCCATGATAATCATCGTTTTACGGAAATCGGTCAGATTTTCATAGTAAATATATTTTTAATCAAGTTGATTTTTCAATTTCTGGGCATTAGACACGCTATGAGATTTCCAGCTGGAAAATCACTTGTCGCTGTCAGGTTAGCCCATTACAACATGGAAATTCACCCGGATGAAATAATCCGCCGATTTGCAAGGCTTTCTGTCTGTATGACTCCGAACCCAGGAAAGGGGGCTTTAGGGAGTTAAAATCCCAAAATTTCCCGGGAGTGCATGCCTTCGGACTCACCTACAAGCTTTCCCTTTAGGCGCTTGTTTAGGAAATCGGTCAGTATTGAGTCCTAGATCCGCACCTGATTTGTATGGTCTCCTTGCTATAGGCCTTGGGCGCTAACCACGGCTAGTTCAAGATCCTGTAGATTAGAGCGTATTAAAAAATTAAGGTGCACTAATAAATACCTTTATAGTAAGATTCACGGGCTAGATTGCTTCCTGTCGAACACTGTGTGTTAACGGCTAGGACAGAGACGGGAGAGTTCCCAATGAAAATTGACGCCCAGTGTAGGAATTTTAAGTTCTTGGAAAATAAATTATCACAAATAACATGCGATGATATAAAATGGAATGAAAATAAAGCTTTCTGGAGCAAAAAAATTAGAAGCACATTAGACCAGATAGGGCTAGGAGATCTTTGGATAAAAGCACATTATATGGACTCAGGAATTGTAGACACAATGAGGCAAAGGCTTAAGGATATCGAACTCCAACACTGGATGAGCGAAATGAATAACGACATTAGAAGAGAAGCTAACGAAAATATTAAATAAGAAAATATCGAAAATTATAAACTATAGAAAATTACAAATGTGAGGATTACCTTCCGCCAGGTTACCAATACCCGTCATAGAGTAACTTAAACAAAAGTTTTGCGACTGAGCAATCACAAACCCGCCTTAGAAACAGGTCAGTAGCTACTATAAGGCCTTATAAAAACCTCAAGAAAGGAGAAAAGAAACGCCCTATTCCTTGAAAAATGAGCATCTGATAAGAGTGAACAAAATGTCACAAAATGAAATATTCATGAAATATTCAATCCCCATAGTGAAAAGCCCGAAATCCAAAAATTGATAGGTAGGCATATTTTTCAATGCTTCAAGATAAGAAAAGAGAGGGAAGACAAAAAGTGAATTATATAAATAGATACGTGTGTTTAATTATCTCTATTTGTTATAACATGTTATGTATAGTGTAATCAACTGGTATAAGACCCCCACAAAAATATTCATTTGTCTTAATTGTTTCATCTTGTCTACCATGATTATTCTTTCCATAGGACAAAGGAGGAAGAAGCCCATGGACAATCCAATTGAACCTATTCGGTTCAGATGAGCCAGCTTTTCGCTTCGCCATGTACACTTTGTCTGGCGTTCTGGCTGCTTTGTTTGTCTTGGGTTTGGTTTGGGAACTTATTCACAGGCAGAAAAGGCGAACCTTCACGTTCAAAAATGGTAACAGTTTTTGAAACCTACTTTGTTAAGACCAAGAATATGCTATTTCCTTAGGTGACCTCAGGTAACCTCAACCTCATTTTTATGCCAGAGATTGCTTGTAGCCATCTGGAGCAAAATTTTTTATTTCTTTGATTTATGACTGCACTCACCTGGGACGCCTTAATGGAGAACTTCTCAACACCTTCACCTCCTGTGGGGGTGAATATAGAGAAGTGGTGATTTAAGGCCGTTTCTTAACATGTGGGTCTGGGATGGAGCGTACTGGTCAAGTACTTATTGCGTACCTTTTTGCAGGGAAGCAAACAGATGTTAGTGGGAAGGATTTTCAACTGGCGAGGAGGGACTTTAAGCAATTGCTGGAACATATTGACGATGTTGAAAAGAGCCTCACCAAGATTTCCGAGTTAAAAGAAGCTTACCACAAAATGGAAGATAACTGGATTCACTTAAACAATCAACGAGGAACAGAAACAGTTCTCCATTTAACGGAGACTTAGTTTAAAAATGGAACTGGAGTGTAAGGCCTCTTTCCTCGGGATATTTCACTGATAATCCAATCAGAACGATCTATCGTAAGTGCTATTAAGTGTGTGAGATCATTCCGCATCTAAACCAATCAAATGGGGACAAAGACACGTGATATTTCGCATATGAGCCAGTCAGTGAGTCTCTTATCATACCAGTAACTTCACACCGTTTCCGATCTCAAAATAAATAAAAGATAAAACATCTACTATCAGGTTACAAGGAAGATAAAGACATACTGTTCCCGTTTCCATAAAGTTAACACAAAATCCATCGGTTTGGTTGACCTCGGTTATGTTAGAGGGGTTTTGTGGTTTGTCGGCCGACCGATTTCAGAAGATCTGAGAGAATTCTTGGGCGCAAAAAAATCAAAAATCGACTCGCTAATATTTCAAGATAAGTGTAAAAAAATTATTCTTAATCCGGCCACCGAGTATCAGTTGAACGACAGTCTTTTCTCCAGTTTCAATGAAACTTTGTTACTGAGATGATGAATGTTGTACATTAAAATTGCGGAATGAAGAAATAAAAGTACACAAGATCATGACAGTTATAAATACGCAATTTATGCTGTTGGGAAAAGAAAGCCTGCGTTACCGTTTAAGGCACACAGGTATTTTTCCCAGCTTATCTTTGACTCTTTTGTTGCAGTCTCACTTTACTTTCTAGCAAACAAGAGGGGTTCGAGTGCATTAATTTGAACAGCTCAAATTTCAATCATTATATATACATCACCGCTATTTTAAAATTATAAGTAGCGGAATAAAATCAGAACCTCTTCTATTCTGGGGTGCGGGATAATCTCGCGTTCCAAATTCATGCATGACGAGACATGAAAATGTGCAAGGGACAAGTGAGCTTTCAAACATCACTAACCCGGGACTATACGACATTGGAAAAACTTCGGGGTAATGAAAACAATCCTCCTTTCTAAACTAATCCGGTACCCATTGTGTGCTAAAAGTGTTAAAAATTTAGGCGGACTAGAATTGCTCGTAGTTCTGAAGTGATTCAGTTATGCTTCAGGCTTGTGATAGAATTGATCGATTCCCCTCGTTGAGATTATTGACCACTCAACGATATTCTTCTAAAGCGAAACGGATCGATAAGCGCGTGTCCGGCGTACTGATACGCATTTCTGTTTCATTGAGAGCCGGATAGTAAAACATCTAATTTCATCATGTGATGACAAATAATCATATAAATAGCGGAATCATCCCGCTCGGAAGCGAATAAGCGCGAGTTTATCCTCTGAACTACCTCAATCATCTGCATTGTGGTTTACGAAGAATCCGATCTCCTCACGTTTCGGCTTGCCCTCGCTATAGCTCTAACAACCTTACGTGGATTTTCAGCCTCGTTAATGCATTGATCTTCTTTTTAAGCTTACTTTATAAACCTGTAACAAACACGTTTACTCCTATTTATAAAACCGAGGTCGTTGTTGTATTTTACGAGACCTGTTCGGAAACCTCAGTTGTGAGGCCAATATCAGTAGCTGACTAAAGGAGACTCGATTTAGGCAAAGTTATTAGAAGTCAGCTGATAAGTAACGTGTGCAAATTTTTGCACTGGGGTAAAAGACAAAAGCATAAAGCGTAAAACATTCATACCTTAATTGCGGTCGGCACTTCATCGGCACTGGTTGCCTACCACGTCCTTTTTGATGTTTTCGTTTGCAGTATTAACCATTGTTAAAGTTAGGCCATCTTACTCTCTATCCGAGACGAGTAAACAGTAAAAGGGATCCGCAGCTACCATTTTCATTGTCTAGCAACTTTTGTAGCCTATTTAGGTCAATTACCTTGCCAATGATTTTCGCGCCCTTTTGGCGGCAAAGACCTCTTCGCTGTTGTCTTGACGCATATTATTGTTGAAGTCGTCGTGGCAAATCAGCAAATGTAGACCTTTTAATTCTGAGACGAGTACGACCACGAGTACGAGATTTTCTCAATACTGAATAGTGCTTGCGTGTTAAGCAGCGTCATTTTGGCGGGAAAACATGACTGTGCTCGTCACTCCACTACGTGTTTTAGCGAAAATGTCCGGTTCGATCCGGTAGTAACAATTCCCTGCTAGCAGAGGTCTCCCTCGACGAGGCAATTATGAGAGAAAGGTCTCTCCTTTCTCTCATTTTTGCCTTGTCTTGAGAGACCTCTGCTCGCAGGGAATGGTAACGGAAACAAGTTTTAAAGTGTTAGAGGTTTTATCATTTTGCGGCTGGGAGATGGCTCATGCAAGCTCCTTCAGTAAAGATAACAATGCTAATTTTTTTGGGTGAAAAAGAAGTGCAATGAAGCTTTCTGAGGCGTCTATACTCGCAAAAACTGGTACTCGTAGCCGTTCTCGTCCTGGAATCTAAAGGTCTCCATTACCGGCAAATCTTTTCACGCCATACAAAACCAGATTCGCAGGGGTATCAAGAGAACGCTTTCGAGAGTGTATTGAGAAAGAAGTGGCGGGAAAAATGCAGGTTTTAGTAGGTTGTCGCTAAGTTTAAAAGTCTATTAAGCTTTTTTGTTGCGTAGTGGCTGTTCCTGCCTACAAATGACAACCTCGACCAAGATTGGTCAAAGTTTTGACAGGTCAATATTAATGGATAAAAACGCAGCTTGTTTATGAAAAACTGAAGCCTTTTGTCATTTGCTGACTCAAGCGAAGTTTGGGAGCGATCGGAGTGGAATGAAGGTAATTTTTGTAGCTTTTTCTTCTGGCAGCGTAGTACAGTGAAGTTTTTCCCTGGTAATTTTCTTAATAGTTGAGAAACCAAAACATTAAAACTTGCTAAAATGGCGTTTATAGGACAGGAAACAGTAACGAAACAACAGAGACACAACTTTTTATGAGGTATGTATACTTTAATAGCTGTTTTTATATATCTTTTTTTATCGATCTTAAGATAACTTTCCATACAAATCCTTATAATTTGGCTTGTAGTAGGCTATTGTGATTCTGGGTGTCCTGTGGCTTGACCTTCGCCACATTAGTGATGTAACTTGTGGTTAACATTCCATGTCCATATTTGGGTATAAAGAAGTGCTGAAAAAAAGGAGCAGAAAAGCTAAGATGTTGGTTTATTTTGCTCTGTTATCAGGGGCACACAGCGACTTTTTTCTGTAAACTATTTGATCGAGGAAGCAAATATTACCTAAAAGTTTCGATAAGTCAAGAAAGGCTAAAAATTTCTAGATGACTGTTTCATTTTTCTAGTATTTTTTTGGCGTTTTTCTATCTACGTTTTTAAGAGGTTTTGTGCTACTACGGTGACCATTTTTACCTGATAAAAATCGCAGAGAACATGCAGATTGCAGGTATACAGAAAATCCACATCAGTAAAGTTGCCATCTCTAGTGAAAATGTTAAAATATCAATGAAAGAATGTACTTAACAGTTGCGAATGGAATGCCAATATGGCTCATTTATTGGATTCAACCTTCACAGAAACATAAAGCTTTCTTTGAGTGTTTTTGGAACAAAAAGGTGAGATAAGTTCATACAGTCGCAAAGGTATTCTACCTTAGGCATATTACTTGTCTAAGTCTGCATCAGCACATACATTAAAGTAATGCCGTGATTATTTTCGGAAAAGTGCTAACATCATTAGCGCGATGTATTTCGATTTGAAATCAAACAAAAGGAATGTTCTGCTTTGCTGCAGAAATGTATTAATAGAGAAAGGATATTTCTGCCCCAAATTCATTATTTCTCGATTTTAAAAGCTACTGGTGTACAATTTTTTTTAAAAAAACTACAACCAGATAACCATTCCTGACGTTTGAAACCTGACTTGTCCCTTGCACATTTTCATGTCGCGTCATGCATGAATTTGGAACGCGAGATTATCCCGTACCCCAGAATAGAAGAGGTTCTGATTTGTTTATATGCGGAAAATTCCGCTACTTATAATGTTAAAATGGCGATGATGTATAATGATTGAAATTTGAGCTGTTCAAATTAATGCACTCGAACGCCTCTTGTTTGCTAGAAAGTAAAGTGAGATTGCTACAAACGAGTCGAAAATAAGCTGGGAAAAAATACCTGTGTGCTGTAATTGTAACGCAAGCTTTCCTTTCGCAACAGCATAAATTGCGTATTTAACGGTCATGATCTGCTGTGCTTTTATTTCTTTATCCCGCAAATTTAATACGGCATAACATTCCGTATATTCATCATCTCAGTAACGAAGTTTCATTGAAACTGGAGAAAAGACTGTCGTTCGACTGATACTCGACGGTGGCCGGATTAAGGATAGTTTTTTTTTGCACTTATCTTGAAATATTAGCGAGTCGATTTTTGATTTTTTTGCGTCCAAGAATTCTCTCAGATCTTCTGAAGTCGGTCGGCCGACAAACCACAAAACCCCTCTCACATAACCAAGGTCAGCCAAACTGATGGATTTTGTGTTAAGTTTATGGAAAAGGAAACAGTATCGAAACAGTATGTCGTTATCTTCATTGTGTAAATGGCCTTGTAACCTGATAGTAGATGTCTTATCTTTCATTTATTATGAGATCGGAAACGGTGTGAAGTTACTGGTATGATAAGAGACTCACTGATTGGATCATATGTGAGATATCCCAACATCCCAAAATATCACGTGTCTTTGTCCCCATTTGATTGGTTTAGATACAATAGATAGTTCTGATTGGATTGTCAGTGAAATATCCCGAGGAAAAAGGCCTTACTCTCCAGTTCCATTATTAAATGGAGAACTGTTCAGAGGAAACTAATCGCGTCATACTGTAGAGATACTGGCCAAGCGGGGATTGATGTCCAGGGCTGGGTTGTTCAAAGCTGGGTTGGGTTAAGATAACCCGATAACCCAGGGTTAGTGCGAATTCAGATATAAAAGCTTAAAAAGCAAATTCAGTTTAATTCTTTTGGTCTCCAATTTGGTGATTGGATGCTCTAAAAAGAAAAGGGAAAATTATCCGAGAAAATGCTTTTAAACAAAAGAAAAAGAAAACCGGATTCAAATTTAACCCGGGGTTAGCGCTTAATCGGCCTTCCAACAACTGGGCCCAGTAGTCTGCGTATCAAATGTTTCTAGGGGAAGAGAAAGAGGGAAACGGATGTAGAAGGCCTAAATGTAATAAACGACCC